GAGGCCAGCAAAGCCGGGAGGGCACTCAGGGCCATGAGCAGATCCCAGGGGTCTGCGGCAGCAGTGACAGCAGCCACCCTACCTGAGTCCTCCATAGACCCTTCAAGATGGGAAGGAAAACGTCCTTGTAATTCTTTTAAGAAATTCATCTACCAAGGGAGATGTGTAATGATTAAAAGAGCTTAGTGATTATAACCCATAATGGAATAGAATCTGAAAAAGAATATATATATAGAGAGATATATATGCATATATAACTGAATCACTGTGCTATACACTTGAAACTAACACATTATAAATTAACTACACTTCAATTAAAAAAAAAATAAAAGAGCTTAGTGACACCAGAAGGGCGTATGCAAAACATGGTGAGAGCAGGAGGTGTGGATTCCATCTTGGGGCTTCCTGCGCTGTCCCTTGGCTCAGGGAGAGCTGGAGAATGCTGGGCAAAGGCTCACCATGAAGAAAAGAGAAAACCCAAATAAACAAAACAAGAAGTGCAAGAGGAGAAGTCACAACTGATACTGCAGAAGCACAAAACACCGGAAGAGAGCACTATGAATTATCATGTGCCAACAAATTCGACAACCTAGAAGAAATGTACAACTTTCTAGAAACATACAGCCCACCAAAACTGAATACAGTAGAAACAGACAACTTGAAAAGACCGATCACTAGATGTGAAATAAAACCTGTAATAAAAAAACTCCTTACAGGGGGCTTCCCTGGTGGCTCAGTGGTTAAGAATCCGCCTGCCAACGCAGGGGACACGGGTTTGAGCCCTGGTCCGGGAAGATCCCACATGCCGCAGAGCAACTAAGCTCATGCGCCACAACTACTGAGCCTGCACTCTAGAGCCCGTGCGCCACAACTACTGAGCCTGCACTCTAGAGCCCGTGTGCCACAACTACTGAGCCTGTGAGCCACAACTACTGAGCCTGCACTCTAGAGCCCGTGCTCCACAACAAGAGAAGCCACCGCAATGAGAAGCCCACACACCGCAACGAAGAGTAGCCCCCGCACAGCAATGAAGACCTAATGCAGCCAAAAATAAATAAATAAAATAAATGAAAACAAAACAAAAAAAACCTCCCTACAAACAAAAGTCCAGGACCAGATGGCTTCACAAGCGAATTCTACCAAACATACAAAGATGAATTTATACCAATTCTTCTCAAACTCTTCCAAAAGACTGAAGAGGGAACACTCCCAAAGACATTATATGAAGCTACCATCACCCTGACATCAAACCCAGACAAAGACACCACCAAAAAAGAAAATTACTGGCCAATATCTTTGATGAATATAGATGCAAAAATTCTCAACAAAATATTAGCAAACTGGACTTCCCTGGTGGCGCAGTGGTTAGGAACCTGCCTGCCAATGCAGGGGACACGGGTTTGAGCCCTGGTCCGGGAAGATCCCACATGCCACGGACAACTAAGCCCATGCAACACAACTACTGAGCCTGCGCTCTAGAGCCCGCGAGCCACAACTACTGAGCCCATGTGCCACAACTACTGAAGTCTGCGCACCTAGAGCCTGCGCTCTGCAGGAGAAGCCACCGCAATGAGAGGCTTGTGCACCACAACGAAGGGTAGCCCCCGCTCAACGCAACTAGAGAAAGCCCATGTGCAGCAATGAAGACCCAATGCAGCCAAAAATAAATAAGTAAATAAATTTATATTTAAAAAAATTAGGAAACTGAATCCAACAATACATAAAAAAGATCATACACCATGACCAAGCTGGATTCATCCCAGGGGCACAAGGATGGTTCAACATATGCAAATCAATCAATGTGATACACCACATCAACAGAAGAAAAGATAAAACCCACATGATCATCACAATAGATGCAGAAAAAAATCTGATAAAATTCAACATCTATTCATGATAAAAACCCTTAAAAAGTGGAATAGAGGGAATATATCTCAAATAATAAAAGCTATTTATGACAAACCCACAGCCAATATAATACTCAATGGTGAAATGCTGATAATCCTTTCCCCTAAAATCTGGAATAAGACAAAGGATGCCCACTTTCACCACTTTTCTTCAACACAGTATTGGAAATCTTAGCCATAGCAATCAGACAAGCAAAAAAAAAAAAAAAGTAGTCAAATTGGCAGGGAAGAGGTAAAATTGTCATTATATGCAGATGACAGAACACTATATATAGAAAACCCTGAAGACTCCATACAAACACTACTATAACTGATAAATGAATTCAGCAAGGTTGTAGGATACAAGTTTAACTTACAGAAATTGGTTGTATTTCTTTACACTAACAATGAAACATCAGAAAGGAGATGTAAACAAACAATTTTTTAAAAAATTTATTTTATTTATTTTTGGCTGTATTGGGTCTTTCTTGCTGTGTGTGGGCTTTCTCTAGTTGTGGCAGGCAGAAGCTACTCTTCATTGTGGTACGCAAGCTTCTCATTGAGGTGGCAGAGCACAGGCTCTAGGTGCGTGGGCTTCAGTAGTTGTGGCATGCAGACTCAGTAGCTGTGGCTCACGGGCTCTAGAGTGCAGGCTCAGCAGTTGTGGCACACGGGCTTAGTTGCTCCGCAGCATGTGGGATCTTCCTGGACCGGGACACAAACCTGTGTCCCCTGCATCGGCAGGCAGACTCTCAACCACTGCGCCACAAGGGAAGCCCTATATGTATATTTTAAATAAATTTATTTATTTATTCATTTTTGGCTGCGTTGGGTCTTTGCTGCTGCGCGTGGGCTTTCACTAGTTGTAGTGAGGGGGGTACTCTTCGTTGCGGTGCACGGGCTTCCTATTGTGGTGGCTCCTCTTTGTTGCAGCGTATGGGCTCTAGGCGCATGGGCTTCAGTAGTTGCAGCAGATGGGCTCAGCAGTTGTGGCTGACGGGCTCTAGAGCGCAGGCTCAGTAGTTGTGGTGCATGGGCTTAGCTGCTCCACAGCATATGGGATCTTCCTGGACCAGGGCTCAAAGCCATGTCTCCTGCATTGGCAGATGGATTCTTAACCACTGCGCCACCAGGGAATTCCTAGACGCACTTATATTGTGGACGTCCCGTTCCATCCCTACTTTGCTGAGAAACTTTACACAAATGGATGTTAAATTTTGTCTAATGCTTTTTTTTTTTTTTTGGCATCTATTGAGATGCTATTGTTTTTCCTTGTTATTGGAGTAATATGGTGAGCTACATTGATTTTTTTTTTTTTAGTTAAGCAAAGAACACCTTATTTCTGCTACACATAACAGCACACTGCCCTAAGAAACAACTACTACTATTTTTTCTTATTGAAATACAGCTGATTTTCAATGTTGTGTTAGTTACTGCTGTACAGCAAGGTGATTCAATTATACATACGTACATATATGTATATACACATTAAAAAATTTTTTTTCCATTATGATTTACCATAGGATATTGAATATAGTTCTCTGTGCTACATAGTAGGACCTTGTTGTTTATCTATTCTACATATAAAAGCTTACATCTGCTAACCCCAACCTCCCACTCCATCCCTCCCCCACCACTACTACTTTAGTTTCAGCATTAATATGTGCATTTACAAATATAGGTCATCATGTATATCAAAAAATACGCCAGTAATCCCTGCTCCCTGGAGAAAACAATGCTGTAGACAGATTATCAGTCAGTCAGCTGAGGATTATGTCATTATCTAGTCTTTGTTCTTAAGAATCAGTAGGTTCTCTGCTGTTTGCCAGATTCTTTCTCTTGGGGAACCTGCCAGCGTAACCTGACCCTATTCAGGGTTTCTTAAACATCTCAATTTCTCTCTATTCTCTCTATTGAATGTTGCCATTGATTAAAATCCACATCTCATTGATTTTTGAATGTTAACCCAACCCTTCCTTGGTCATGACTTTTTACTTTTCATTGGATTCAATTTGCTAAAATTTTGTTAAAAACTTTGGCATCTACGTTCAAGAGGAATATTGGTCTGTGGTTTTCTCTTAATGTCGTTCTACTTTTGAATCATGCTGGTGCTGCTCTCACAGAATGAGCTGGGGAGTGTTTCCCCCTGTTCTGTTAAGGAAGAATTTGTGTATAATTGATATTATTTCATTCTTCAATATCTGGTGTAACTCATCAGGGAAGCCATCTGAGCCTGGAGTTTTCTGAGCAAGTTTTCAACTACAGATTAAATTTCTTTGATTTAGGGCTATTCGGGTTCTCCATTCTTCTTGAGCGAGCTTCAGTGGTGTCTCACAAGGAACTTGTCCATTTCATACACCCTGTAGAATTTTCTGGTTTCAAGCTCTTTGTGATATTCCCTTATCCTTTTAATATCTGTAGAATCTGTAGTAACGGCACCTCCCTCATTCCTGATATTACTTTTTTCTTCTTCCTTTATTTTTTCTTCATCAGTCTAGCTAGAGTGTCCATTTTATTTATCTTCTCAAAGAACAAGCTTCTGCTTTCACTGAGTGCCTACTACAAATGCCTGGTCCTATGTGAGATACCAGGTGGAAAGAGATGAATTAGTGTCCTTTACATAAATCCGCTATTTTATTCTTTTTTAGAAAGTCCTCTGCTTTTTATTTCTGAAATTTTTTTTTTTTTTTGTGGTACGCAGGCCTCTCACTGTTGTGGCCTCTCCCGTTGCGGAGCACAGGCTCTGGACACGCAGGTTCAGCGGCCACGGCTTACGGGCCTAGCCGCTCCGCGGCATGTGGGATCTTCCCGGACCGGGGCACGAACCCGTGTCCCCTGCATCGGCAGGCAGACTCTCAACCACTGTGTCACCAGGGAAGTCCTGAAATTTTTTTAAAAAATTAATTTGATTTATTATTTATTTTTGGCTGTGTTGGGTCTTTGTTGCCGCACACAGGCCTTCTCTAGTTGCAGTGCGTGGGCCTCTCATTGCGGTGGCCTCTCTTGTCGCAGAGCACGGGCTCTAGGCGCGCAGGCTTCGGTAGTTGTGGCTTGTGGGCTCTAGAGCACAGGCTCAGTAGTTGTGGCGCACGGGCTTAGCTGCTCCGTGGCATGTGGTATCTTCCCGGACCAGGGCTCGAACCCATGTCCCCTGCACTGGCAGGCGGACTCTCAACCACTGCGCCACCAGGGAAGTCCCAAATCAATCATCTTACAGGTGCCACACAGCTCGACTGGGGCACACGCACCCCTGGGATATATTAATACAATGACAAGCAAGAAACACATGCCCCCTCCAGAGGCTCCCTGGTGGCTGAAACACATTGTTGAAAGTTACCCCTTCAGATGCTGGGACCACGTTCTCCTCCCTCTGCCTTTAGGGTCCTCCACAGGCCACTCTGAAGAACACTGACGAAGCACGGATGGGCGCGACGTGTGGACCTCAGGATAAAGGGCCTCCGTGGAGCTCCACCTGGAAGCTGGCTGCCCCTGCCCACGGGTGAGTTCGAGGCCCTCTCTGCTTCTGTAGACAGACGTCTCTCTTTTGCCGGCACCGCCCGAGCGCTGCTCTGAACAGGGTGCCCCCCGTGCCCAGCACAGCTCCCACATCTGTACTCAGCGCCCACAGGAAGCCTGGTGATGACAGGCTGGCGGCATGCACTGGCTCCACCTGCAGGCCACCTCGGGACATGACCGGCTTGTGTGCAAACGTCAAGTGGGTTCTGGGCAGCAACAAAACTCCTTTCTGCGACAAAACACGCTGTCTCCACTTAGGAACTAGGGACGGGAAACCACTTGGTGCAGCAGGAAGACAGTTTTGCTCCACTCTTTAAGGCATGGTTGACGCTGGGCTCAATCTCCAGGGGTGGGGATGGGGGTAGAGCAGGTCTCTCCTCAACATCCTCCAACCTGCCGCTCTCACAGGCCACAGGGTCCACCTTTCATAGGAGATACTCCACCTCAGCCAAGTTCCCTTCACAACATACATCGCAAGAGCCCCTCACCCCATTCTGCACGGGCAACTGGTCCATGATGGGTTTTTATTTACTGATGATAACTCAAGGAACCCACAAGCGGTAGACAGGGACACACTCCCAGGGTTTGCACACCAGCTCCTCTGCTGACTCCAGGGGCTGGCTGCCCAGGCCTCACCTTCTCCTTCTCCGGGTAAGAGCTCAGCCTCCCGGAGCGCAAGTCCCGGTCCCAGCATAGGCTAGCTGGCCTCTGGCACTTCACTGCCCTCTCTCAGCCTCAGTTTCCTCCTATGTAAAATGGGACTGCAGCCCTACCTCATTCGGTTCTTAGGACTCAGTGTGCTAAGAGGCACAGCACCAGGGGGAACATGGGTGGACGCTGATGTAGTGGATGTAAGGGCTCGGGGTGGGAGGGGACGGGACGTTCTTTGTACGGATCAGTGGTTCTCAAAGCGTGGTCCCTGGGCATCAGCACGTCCCGGGAACTTGTGAGAGATACAAGTTCTCAGGCCCCTTGCCACACCAATGGAAGCAGAAATGCTGGGCCCTGCTAGTCCTTGCTGACCACCCTCCAGGTGATGCCTGTCTCAGAAAAGATGGCCCACGTGAGTAATTTTTAAGATTAGGACTTTCTGATCCACAGTGCTGACTCACCCTCTGGAGGGAGAAGAGAACAAAAGCTTATCGGAGAAAATGTGATCCCTGCTTTAGAATGGAACCCTGCTCCCAGCTCCAATGCCAGCTCTCACTGGGGCTGTACGACGCTTTCACGCCAGTTCCCCGTTGAGCCAACAACCGTGAGGCAGTCAGTGAGCCTGATAAGTGGGTTTTATCCCCATTTTACAACAGAAGAAACCAAGGCTCAGAGACTCCACCCAAAAGTGGCAGCCATTTGTCAGGCACCAACCATAGCGAGAGACCAGGACCAAGACCTGGGCCACCATTTCTATTCCACAGGCAGACCCCCGTCACCTGCAAAGCACCAGATTTCAAACTGGACTCAATTCCACCCCTACGCTTACTGCTTTAGAATCTATTTTTTAAACGCAATTTTAGGGGTTTTGGTAATCGCCTTAAATGGAGAAAAACATTATGCAGCATTCACTTGATATTAGCCAAACTACAAGAAGTATCAATTGATTTTAAAAAAAAAATTTATGTACCTTGCCTTAGAAGTGATTTCTGGATAAAATTTTCTAGAGCTTATAATTCCATCCACGATGTGATCTAATATTGCCTATTTCTAAAGCATTTTACATAACTTTGCTGTACACCTGAAACTAACATAACATTGTAAATCAAGTATACTCCAATAAAATTTCTTTTAAAAAGGCATTGTACAGTTTAAATAATGCTCTTGCATACTTTCTCTTACTGCACTCCACAGTAACTCTAAGTTAGAACTTACACATTATCTCCATTTTCCAGATGAGAAAACAGAGGCTCAGGGAGGTCATAGGAGTTAAGTAGCAGAATCATCTGCTTACCATTTACTGACCTTCAGAGTGTGAAGCCTAGATCCGCCCTCCACCCCTGTGCTAACCGAGGTGTTCACTCATCGGCCCCTTGGATTTCCTAAGGACAGGGCAGCTCGGCGAGACTCTGGCTGCACCTGGCGCACGCAGACCTACTCGGAGTGTGGCGGGGGCGGGCCGAAGGGAGGGACACGGGCGCAGGCAGCGGGGGTCTCACAGGTACGTTTATTCATGCCCAAGGGCAGCGGCACTGCTGCAAGTCAACCCGATGTCCCACGTTCCCACAACACAGCCAGACCGACGTCCCATCCAAGGAGAGCTTGTTAATGATGACCACGAGCAGGCTCAGGACTGGAAGCTTTTCAAAGAGAAGCACGACACAGATACAATTTAGGAGGAAAGGAACAAGCAGACTGTGGTTCATTATATAGGTATGTACTGACAAGCCAGAAGATGCAAAGGACAACTTTCAACATGATGGAGCACATGGAGGGTTATTTCTATACGGATGTACAGGAGGGTCTGTGGAATCAACATGGGCATGCAGCTCACGTGCAGGCGCAAAGAGCAAGCGGCATGGAAATGTCTTCTCCCCAAGGTCAAGGGCCAGTCCTAAGTTTGCACAGGAATCAGATGCCTAGAGTTTCACTGTCATCTGGAAGCGAAGTGAAGGAACGCCCAGCACTAGGGCACAAATTTATGTGGTTCTTGCTTTCAAAACACGCTCTACAGGGCAGCCCACTGGCACAGCTAACTCCTCTTGCCTACTGGTGACACCAGCTAGCTCCGATCAAGTCATTTCACTCCTGGAAGCTGTACTTGGCCCAAGGGGTGAGCAACGGTTTTTTTTTTTTTTTTTTTTGAGCAACGGTTTTTAACACACAGACTGTAGGGGGCAGAACTTCAGAGTCCGCTTCCAGCAGGCCAGCGCTCTCCACGTTCTGAAGTGCTCCTACTGCCTCTGCGTGCTTAGTGAACCACGCAGCAGCTTCAATTCACAACAGGGATATACCTTGTCCCAAAAAGGTACGATGGGGTTTTTTCATTCCCCATCCATTTTAAGAAGCAGAAATCTTACCTTTCAAGGCTTTACTTCTTTTATCTAAAATAAATGGAAAGAAAAATTGGTCATGTCAATGCTTTACAAAAATGCCTTTAGTCGACTCACTGTCGAAATCATCATTTGGCTGAAAAGTTCAGAGCTTAGGCAAAGCTATTAAATGAAGCTTTCAGAAAATAGGAATTCCTATAGTGTCTCAAAGCCAAGAAGTGGTAAAAATTCTACCACAGATGTTCTCTCAACAGTTAAATAGCCCTTCAGAATCTGCAGGACTCTTCACTCTCTACCAGATCCTAACCTCCAGTCTTGCAGTTTAAAGTTTCTCCTTTCTTTCCTCTTTTTAACCAATCGCTCATTCATACACAGTTGGGCCTCATCTCTGCTTCACTGAGAACCAAATGGTTACTCTGCCCCTATTTTTATTAAGAAAATATTTAAACATTCAGATCAATGGAAAAGGTACAGTAATATACTGCATACCATGACACTTCATCCCTAAATATTTTAACCTGCATCTCTGAAAACTAAGGATATCTCCTATGCATTCTAAATACCATTGCCACACCTAAGAAAATTAACAATTCCGATATCAAGGTCTTGTTCAAATTTCTTATTGCTGACATAGTTCTTACACTCCCCACATTTTAACAAAGGACCACCAGGGGTTCGGATGTTCACTCCTAGTTAAGAACCACAGTTTCTTTACAATATGAATTGTGATTCCTCTTGAAAATAATTTTCTTCTTGACCTCCAATGAATCAAACACAAAGAAACTTACCAGCACTCCTGATTTTATAAACGATAAAAGCCATCAGCCCCATTCCTGCCCAAATCTCCTGGTAAACTTGGGTATAGTAGGGCTTCATGGGGACCCAAACATTCTTAATAAGGCTTTGAAGCATCTGAAAAGGAACACAGTGATAAATATTACCATGACTATTGTTTTAAACTTAACTGGTAAGAGGTTTCCATTTATTAAGTTTGACCCTATTTCCCAAACTATTCAACAGGGAGCAGCCCCTATGCCAGACCTGCTACCCGAAGCCATTCCAACATCTACATGGGGACTCCTGCTCTCAACAGCTTTCCAAGCTCCACTCACCTCTCACCATCCCCTGACCTTGGCCATCCGGGCACTCCTCACTTCACATTCCTCCAGCCTCAGAGCTCTCCCAGCCCGTGCTGTCCCGCACTGTCATCAATGGTCCCCCTCTCCGAAGGCTATCGTCCACGAATGCCCCCAAATTATGCCAAGAATTACACACTTTTGAAGAAACTAGCATACCTGCATCACCATGTTAAGAACTGTTGGCGTTCAAAGCTGGGAAAGAACATGGTCAAGGCATGGTGATTTCCCTGTGACACTAACACCCAGGCTTGGGCTCACATTCATCAGCTGTATCTCAGTCCTTCTTTTGTTTTGTTTGAATCTCAGCTGTATTGAGGCATAACTGACATATAAAACTGTAAGTCATTTACGGTGTACACCATGGTGGTGACTTGATACATGTGCACGATGTGTAGGGACTTCCCCTGTCTAGGTGATTAACACATCCATCACCTCACTTTTTTTTTTTTTGGAGAGAACTTTCAGTTCTCTAAGGAGCCAGAGCATCTGGGAGAGCAGTGTCCTTGGTAGAGGCAGCTCACGGGCCAAGACCCAAGGTCAGAACATGCTCGGAGTGGGAGGAACAGCGAGAAGGCCACTGTGGTCACTCAGATTCAAATCCTGGCTCTGTCACTTTCCAGCTAACTTAAACTGCCTCGGTTTCCTCATCTCTAAAACAGCACCCGCCTCAGAGGGCTGTTACGAAGATGGAGCTGTTACGAAGTGTAGCTCCGAGGAGTTGCTCTGTGTCAATTGCAGTATCTGCTGTCCTACAGCAAGTGCTTGTTACATAAAGTGTCATGGCTGGGCTAGTGGACAGAAGATGGCCAGGTCATACAGGGCCTTGCAGGCCACAGCAAAGAGCGCAGCTTTTATTCTCAGAATGTCATGCAAATTTAACAGCATTCATGAAGTGCTTTACTTGCTTATCTCCTGCACTACTTGGACATATCTGGCTGGTCACAGTTGCCTGAGATCACACAGTTGAACCTAGTCACCCAGCTGGATCTGCTCCTTATTACTGAGAATCTGCTCTGAGGCCTGGCTTCCAGCTCTTCCAAAGAGAGAACATACCCAGGCTGAGACCCAGGCCTGAAGGCTAGCCAGCCCCCTGAGTGACCCAGGAAGACGTGGCTGTGTCCTCCTCCTGGAACCGCTTGCAGACGTGTCTGCCCTCACATTTCCTGTCTTCAGGCAGTACCAGGATGCTCTGCCAGAGCATAACATTCCAAGAAACCAACAGCCCTGCCCTGAAAAGGCAGATGAGAAGATCCAAACAGGATGTGGAGGAAGCCTCTGGAAGCCCTGGACAGGAAGAGTTCAGAGGCACTGAGCCAATTCCTCTCCTCCCTGTGCCCAGCACTGACTGGGAAGGAAGACTGATGGGGTCAGAAGCCTGCGAATCCTAGGTTCCTACACCAGTTCAGCCTGTTTTGCCCTCGATCCTGGCAATGTCTTGAAGCTGTCATTTCAGAGGTTTCCCTTTCTGTGAAACAGGGATAGCTCCACCTGCCCCACTGGGCTCTCAAAGTAAAGGACCCCAACCTACTGCCTGGTGTGGAATAAAAACTCAGTAAATGATCGCAGCAAGAGCAGAAAGAATTTCTGCAGATGCCCAGCTGACTACTACAGTACTAAGCTCCTGAGATTCTACGAGGAAGGCCTTAAGAAGCTGAGGGCAAGGCCCAGGTCAGGTAGGGGCCTTAGAGCAAGGCCAGAAGAGGATCTAGAAGGAAAAGAGCAAAGCAAACTAGGAGGGTGTAAAGGAGGTAAGAAGGGGCCAAAGAAACTTCTGTTATCTCCATAGTTTGCTCGGGGCCCAGGCCCCTGGTGTTGTCTCCTCACCTAGAATTACCCAAGAGTGCTTCAGGGTAGGTACACGGCAAATGCTTACCTCTCACCCCGCCTTTGGCCCAAGGCTGACATATCTGGCTGGACAAGCGACATGTTCCCAATGTTTACAAAATGAGGCCCCCTACTTTTTCTGCCTGAGTTCACTCTATCTAGCATCGTTTCCCAGCTGTGTAAGTTTTATTAGTGCCCATTCCTTCAAAGACCCATCCTATTCAAAGGCCAAGTGGGTGTCGGCTGTGTCCGTTTAAGTCTGCAAAGTGGTTGGTATGTTACATTAACAGCAAACTGTCACCTGACCTTACACTGGAAACAGGAAACGTCTGACCCGCTGAGCCTCAGACCGGGCTTCACAGGCTGAGGTCCGTACAATTGCAATAACCTCCGATCCCGTTTTGGTCCCCGTTTCCCCCTCTCCCAAAGCCCTGTCATACGTACAGTGTAGCTCCGAGAACAGTGTGCTTGCAAGGAAACTTGAGGTGTAAAGGAGAGAAGGGAGTAAACGTGGGGAAAGAGCTCTCGGCTTGGATCCTGACTCCATCACTAACCTGCCCTGTAAGCTCGGTTAGGTGGTTGAACCTCTCACGGCCAAAGGAAAAGGCGTAGCGCGGCCTCGACTAATAACAGCTAACCCCAGGACGACCTCCCTTTACAGTTTTGGGGACCCAAGTAAAAAGTGCGCGTGGGCAGGTAGAAGAGTTGGACCTCAAGGTCAGCGGGGATGGAGGTGTGGCCGCGGTGGGACCGGGGAGGCTCCCACCCGCTGCGGAGGCCACTCCGGGCCCCAGGTCCTCGCCGCCCGCGATCCGGCCCCTCACCGTACCGGCTACCCCGCGCCGAGCGCCGACCCCAGCCCCGCTCTCACCTCGGCGAAAGACTAGCGCCTCAGCCAGCCCCAACTCAAAGCTGACGACTCGGAAAGGTCACTGAGCGCGCAGGCGCCGCGCGGGGCCTGCCGGGAAGGCGGAAGGAGCGGCGTCGCCCTAGACCAGCGCGCCTCCGCCGGCCGCGCCTGCGCACCCCAGCGCCCCCAGCGGCCGCCCGGGTTCGGCCGCCTGGAGGGTTGGGGGAGGGGACGCGCGCGCGCGCGCGCGCGCGCGACAATCACGTGACTTAACCATTCGTATTTGCCTGGGAGTGGGACTTTCAGTGCTGAAACTGAGAAGGTCTTGGACAAAACCGACGAGTCGGTCTACCCGAAAAAGGGAATCTTTACTGGTGTTAAACGCAGAAAAGTTGCATCTCCCGTCTCTGATTTTCTTGCCATCTCTGTGTTAACATTTTTCGCTCTGCATATTTTTATGTATCAATTCTGTGCATCGTAATTCTACTCAACAGACAATCTAAAGACTTCACAGGGGTGCAAGACACTGGACCTAAAAGACGCAGGCTTTAAAAATAACCATGCTTGGGACCTCCTGGTGGTTCAGTGGGTAAGACTCTGTGCTCCCAATGCAGGGGGCCGAGGTTCGATCCCTGGTCCTGGAACTAGATCCCACGTGCATACCACAACTAAGAGTCCACATGCCACAACTAAGGGTTCGCATTGCCACAACTAAAAGATCCTGCATGCCGCAACTAAACATGCCACAACGAAGATCCCACAACTAAGACCCGTGCAGCCAAAATAAATAAATATTAAAAAATAAATAAAAACCATGCTTAATATGTGCAAGAAATTAAAAAACAAGACTGAAAATCTCAGCAGAAAACTGGAAACTGTAAAAAGTTAAACAAAAGAAAGCCACTTAGCTGACTTGAAAAAGTGCCCAATAGAAGTTGGATTGATTTAGCAACAGATTAGACAGTTGAAGAATTACTGAATTGGAGGCTGGGTTAGAAGAAACCATTCAGGAACACAGACAAAAGAGAAAGGAACAGCAAGAAAGTCTATCATAGATGTAACTGGTGTCTTAGTATAACTGCCAATCTAGAATTCCATGCGTGAGGAAATTAGCATTCAGAACAGAAGGCGAAATGACATTTTGGGCCAACTAAGAACTGAGGGAATAATCACCAGTAGGTCTGCAGATTAAAAAAAAAAATCAACGTTCATTATTCACGCAGAAGGAAAGTGAGCTCAGAGGAAGGATGGGGAGGGTGAAAGGAAGAGCAACAGACTTGATCCTACTTCGAAGTGAAAGGAGCTTAGGATCAAATGAAGCTGCATGCAAAACTTGGAAAACTTAGGGTAGTGATGCTCAAAGTGTGGTCTCGGGGTACCCAAGGCCCCCGAGGGCCGAAACTATTGTTCGTAATAATGGTAAGATGTTACTCGTCTTTTTCACTAGAGTTCTCTCACAAGTGTATGGTGGAGTTTCCCAGAGGCTGTGTGGCTTGTGATGCCACAACGGAATGAGTACAAAAACAGGAGAATTCAGCTATCTTCCATTACGGCAGACATTAAGAGGTCTGTGAAAATGTAAGCGTCTTTTACTCTTCTCAAACACAAAAATTGGGGGGCAAATATAGTGACTTTTCATAATGATTCCCTTTAACATCAACTGGTCTTATTATCATCATTTTAAAATGAATTTAAGAATAAAACATTTCTCAGTTGTAATCCCTAAATAAAGCAGATAGAACCCACGTAAACAAAAGCTCTGTAGGGTCTTCAACAATTTTTTTCTTCAACAATTTTTTTTTTTTTTTTTTTTTTGCGGTACGTGGGGCTCTCACTGCTGTGGCCTCTCCCGTTTCGGAGCACAGGCTCCGGACGCGCAGGCTCAGCGGCCACGGCTCACGGGCCCAGCCGCTCCGCGGCATGTGGGATCTTCCCGGACCGGGGCACGAACCCATGTCCCCTGCATCGGCAGGCGGACTCTCAATCACTGTGCCACCAGGGAAGCCCTCTTCAACAATTTTTAAGCATGTAAGTGGGTCCTGAGACAAGGACAAGGTTTGAGAAACACTGTCTTAGAAAAAGAATGTTTTAGACTTATAATGAGCTAGAAAACCGCAGAGGACAATAAGCACTTAGGAAGAACTTAAGGAAGAGCATCATCATTGTAAAGCTATTTCAAGACAAATCTTTTAAACTTCAAACTCGACTTGAGAGCAACAGAATTTTAATGTCCTCAGTTGTTAATCCAACGTAGCCCATGAAAAACACATGTTCAAAGAAAACAATGTTTAAAGAAAGGGTCATCCCAGCAGATTAATTCAAAATGCAAAATGCTGTATTTTGTGGCTGGGAAGGTCACTGAAGATATGATGGTATTTTGGGCAAAGCTCCTCCCACTTCACAGCATCAACATCACTTGGAATTGCTCTCAGCTGTTTTCCCTTTGGGCCTGCAGCTCCAACTGCTCTGGGGATGCAAATATGTGAAACTTCCACCAAGGCCCGCTCCGTGGCCTTCCCCTTTGCTCTGGCCTAGATGCCTACATGCCTATACGGAACTATGAAGCTGCCTCTTTTTACTCTGGACTTTGGGCAGGAATGCCAGATGAGCTGGGCTAGATGACTAAAGAGAACCAAGAACTACTCAT